CCTATTCTAAAAATATCATCCAATGATATCATTTATTTGATCGTTTGATTTTCTGCACGCGCATATCGCATATCGCACCCACCGGCAGGATATACTCATAGTCTATTCTACTGAATGATGTCGCAACGTGATGAAATGTCGAGCGAGAATGAAGTTTTATCTCTCTGAATTGAAAAGCAATTATATATGTGTTGTAAAAWTTACGAGCTGAGAATAGCGTAATATGAGAATGAAGACTGAGAAAGGAACGAGCGGAATTAAATCTGGGATGGYTTAACGTAGTCTCTACTAGCTTTCAAACCTTTAGATATTGTCAGAGTTCGGCGTGCTACTCCTTAAATTCCTTGAAAAGCCCTGGAATTGAAAACAMACTCGTAATTTTGGACCTTGAAAGKTCCTTAAAAAGTTCTTGAATGTTATGTTTGGCACCCGTTTTTGGTAAGATTACCTGTGTTCTTTTTTGTACGTTTATGTTCGTTTATAGCTAGTGTGAACGCTCTCGAAAACTGAGCTCGGATCAATCTCAGACCTATCCAAACTAGATCGATCTAAAATATGTCGGGACCTTTAAGCGCCAACTAGCGCTAACCATATTATATATGTTATACATTATCTTGTTAGTTTACACGTTATTCGTGATAAAAATTACGAGCAGTCAGCCAATACCTAAAGCCTTATCTTCTTACTAATAATTTACATTTACCGGCAACATCCACTATCACCTTAAGTATCAATATAATGTTATCGTCTACATCACGATGTTACATTGGATTCGTCTAAACCAACTCGATCACTTAACACGAGTGTATCAGGAGGGGATTTAGACCCTATACGCGTCACCTCAAATTTTGCAAAGATTTACAATATTTTGCTACAAAGGTATACATTTTYAGAAAGCTATACAAAATTAATGTAGTTTTCGAAAATGTATTTAGAATTGTCTATTTTGTAACTTTAAAAAGATTAACGGTTAAAGATTGAAGTGACAATTTACCGCACTTAATTTGAATATGATTCCCCGCCGGATCAGAATTTCCGCTATGGCAATCATARATACATTAGCATACAATTTGTAGTAATGAKCTTTCAAACAGCGTCTCAGATTTTAYTGAGATCACGCGCCCACTTCTTATTCGGTTCTYTCGATTGGGATACCTGTAGCTACCTGTGTTATGTTAAACAATTAAGGTGGGTTTTCTGTGGCCACGAGACCGTCACCGTGACGAGAAATAAAGTGTTCGCGCTACCCTGTCGATCCGTTAGTATCGATCCGTTGCAYCCACTGTAAAATCAGGTCGCCGACAGGAATCTAGATTTTGTTGGAGCATTGAACAACCCTCTTAACAAAGGAGGTCTTATAAATGTGGAATACTGGGATATTTTCATTATCATTAYTTTCGTTATCATCATTACGACTATCCCTATCATCATCATTACCTTCATATACCTTCATTACCATCATCCTCACCTCACCACATCCGGTCTTCATCAACATTATTATTAAAATATTATTCATTAATAATTAACATTAATACTTCTAGCCAACAACATAATTTGAGGCAGTACGCATCTTTGGCATCAATTGATCCAGCCCAGCAATCACTCCCTCCAGCACCGTCACCCTCAACAGCAGGGAGTCCTACCGCCTCTTCTCCTGCAGCTGTAGCCGAGCAAACACTCCATCCAGCATCAGCACCCTCAACAGCAGGGAGTCCTACCGCCTCTTCTCCTGCAGCTGTGGCCGAGCAAACACTCCATCCAGCATCAGCACCCTCGACAGCAGGGAGTCCTACTGCCTCTTCTCCTGCAGCTGTGGCCGAGCAGACACTCCATCCAGCATCAGCACCCTCGACAGCAGGGAGTCCTACCGCCTCTTCTCCTGCAGCTGACGACACAGTAAAATATCGGAAGTATAAAGCTTCATAATTYAAAGACGCAACTTTCAAATGACGTCACTTTCAGTATCATATTGGTAGTACATACCTTCATAACTTAAAGACGCAACATTCAAATAAAAAAATATTTAAACATTCGACTATTCACTTTATGTAGAATCAATACTGAAAGTATTGTATCAGGGGTTAGGTGCCCTTTGACAACGTACCGGAAACATGCACCTGGGCCSGGTTGCATAAAGCTCTCTTAAGATAAGAGGCCATATTGTCCTAAGACAATACTTACGAGTGTTTTTAAGCTTTTTTATTTTAAGGTGACTGCCTACTTTTGAAAAACGATTTAAACTTTTTTAAAACTTCGATTTTCCAAATTGAAATTTAATGCTGATTCCAAATCTGGAAAGAAAAATTGGGTGTCCCGAGATAATCAGCATTTAATGGAAACCTATGCACGAGCTTTTGGAGCAAAACTTGCGTTAATATAATAGTTATTTGCAGACTATATGATTGCACGAATGAAGGCTAGTCAATCATTCTACAATAATACATGGATATTTTCGACAAAAAGACAAAGAGATACATTGATTTGCCATATTTTGTAGTTTCGGTGCTCTTAAAAAACCTCATAATTTTGAACAAAAATCCCTACAAAAATCCATTTTTTCATGTGTTCGAAATATAAACTTTTTCTTAAATGTTGATATCACCTAGATTTTTAGGAGTTTTTCCGAATGAGCTATTAAAAAATAGAGAGTCCCGTGCAAAATTCGAGGGTTTTGCCCTGTTGAAGCTCAAAACGCGTATGGTTCTTCAATAAAATCTTGTAGATTTTTCAGCGGTTTTTGAGCGCGCGCACAGGGTGGGCTCAAATCGAACGTTCAAAAGTAGGCAGCCACCTTAAGAGGGCTTTATGCAACTGGGCCCAGGAGAAGATTGCTTCCAGRTTCTAAAATATAAGCTATAAAATCTAATAAACGTTTACTACTTACTTGTTATTTCTTATCTCACTTACAGTCGCATATTGAAAATTGTGAAGCTACAAAATAAGGCAATAAGAATATTTARTGATGTTCCACTTCAGGAACACATTACCCCACATAATATGTTCATCTTGGCATTTTAAAGTTTCCAGATTTTATYAATTTTATTACAATCCTATGCAACAACACTGAGCCTTCGAATTTCTAATTATCACTAGTTTCTGAGCAACCCAAAGATAATACACGTAGCACGTCTTCAAACTCTTGCAAAACCCTTCCTTCATGATCTTTGGAATTATATTCAAGGGCGGATCCAGGCGGATCCATAATAAATAATAATAATAACGGGGTTCTTATATAGCGCATTTTACATGGTCTCAATGCGCTTCACAATCATGACCAGTGGAGGACTTGGCTGGACTGGACGGGCTGCGTATTTAGGCGCTAGTAGCAGCCGTGCAGCTTACAATCATGAGTGATTTGTTAGTAAGCTAGTATTAATGCTTCCAGATTGGGATAGGCTGTTGAACCGGGAGACAATCCCCTACTCTTATGCGAATAATTCAACAGGTTCTTTTATGTCCCCCATTTAAAGTTGGTTAGGAAGGGTTGGGAGACAGGGCCTACGGTTTTAAGCCCTTGTCCGAGAAGACTTGAAGGTCTAACCATTTGCAGATGTAATTACAAAGGCAGCACCTTCTCCTCAGTTATTTTAAGACCATGAGTGTTGGTCCGGCCGAGGCTTGAACCACGACCTCAAGCACAACAGACCGACGCTCTTACCAACTGAGCTAACCGGGTGCCCCCCTCCTCTACAGTAGAT